ATCCCAGCTCTGTGTGCCATTTTCTGGTTAGAATCGGCGAGGAGGCAGGGCGGTTAAGCACAGCAGAATTGTAGCAGTGAGTTGCGAGTTCGAGACCTCAACAAGCTGTGGATGTTCTGCGATGTTAAGGATCGGCGACAGGCCTACGGCCCAATAAACGCTTGAAGCCGCTATTATATTATAACATATGACGAATGTGTTGTACGGCCTCGGAGACTGTTTACTTTAAACAGCTTGGGAGGTCACTGTAGCAGATGGATAACTGAACTAATCGCTCGGATTTTGTGGAATGGTTTTTGCCTCACAAATGAAGAATGACAGGCTTGCTGGATGTCGTCGCATTAGCTTCTCTTGCCGCCAATGCCAGATATTTGCATTGACAGACGAATGCGCTTCATTATTCATTGGAGCAGCCAAAGGCTGTTGAAGCAGTAATGCGGTACTATCAGACTTTTGCAGACTACAACCGCGACGGAATAATATGCCTCGTATTCATTTTGGGGAATTTTATCGGAAAATATTTTGCATCCTCATTCTTTTATAAGAGTCCCAATTAAAACTATAAAAAAAAAGCTGAGACTTGTTCATTTCCAGAAAATTCGTTTCCAAATGACGATGTTGGGGCAGCGGTAGTAACGCCCAAACAGCCGTTGATCGCATATACCACCATGCAGGAACGAACGAACTTTCTCTATGAATGAAATCCACACATAGTCAATATGTAACTTTAGCAACCCCCTGAAATCACAATAAATGTAAGTTTGTCAGATTAACGCCATTATGCTGTACACTGCGACATGACAATGTTTGCGAGCGACTTCAATTTGAAGATATTGGAATCGATGCACACTTTTATACGGGAACCTTGTCTTAAAATGAGTAGTTCTTATCCTCCTGAGATAGTAAATCGATAGGTTTTTAGGTTCCGCTGTCGTTTTCTCGTTACTTAGGTTTCAATATTTCTTCCGTATATACTCGTATTTTTATTTTCACCGATGATTGTACTTTTATTCCATACATTTTTGGAACCGCTGATATGGAGCTGGTTGCCGGATCATTTTCATGAATAAATTGTGAATTCACTCGACGTTTCTTTTGCTTCTATATTCTCAGAGCTCTAGAAACTTGAGCAGAATAATGATATGAGTACATAAATCATATATTAATCAAAATTTAGTCTAATTTACCTTCTCTTCTTGAAAGTGATTTTATAAAGGTGAGGATCACAATCATCAAACAATGTGCGTCAAGGCAATAAAATATCATTGGATAACTGACAACGCGCAAACTGTGTTTTTAGTTCGTTCGAGTTGGCATTCATTGCTTATTCACTGCGAGGAGATTGAAACATCGATTCGTAAACTTGTGTTCTGGTGTTTAGAATGCATAGAATGAGTTTTGATGCTGACATCAAGTTGATATTCAGACATTATAAAGTCGAATTTATCTTTCTCCAAATCATATATGTATTTAGCGATAAAATGCCGTTTCATCTGCATTGTGACATATAAACATTTTCTAGTCATTCTAAGTCCATCTCAGCTTAGTGCCTTCATGAGATCCTTTTATACAGCTTTCATGAACTTACACACACTTCTCGCATAATTGATCATTTATTAGCTTCTGTTTAGCAACAATTGAAAAGTTTACCAGCCGAAACTGTTAAATCCCAGAACTCGACAATTGGGCAGAAATCAACTTGAAACGTATAAATTTCATTATGACTAGTCATTATTGAGAGTCACACTTCGATGCAAATTCTGTCAATGATGGTATTACCCATCGGTTGCCTATGAATGTACTGTTATAATTCAATTTTCGGTTCGGCATAATTTTCATGCATATTTAATAAAAACTATAACAAAAACCTTCCAAAACACACATTTAAGTGTGACATTGAGCAAACAATCGAATAGGTTCCAGCAATATTAAGATGGGAGCCAATTCCTGTCACCGATTCCGCCCAGTTTCCTTATATAGCATAATATCAAAAATTCTGTGAGAAATTTCCCCATCATTTTCCAATTATCCAACGTAGGTATGAGAGTCATATGAGATCAAGACGAAACTATGACATTGTTCTGTGTGCTTGGCGTGTAAGATTTAGGTTCAAGTAAATTAAGCAAAAATGTAGCTTTAATTCGGTAGGTACGAGTGAAACTGACAGATCGCAGCAAGGTGTTCACAAATTTTTCAATCCAAGGTGAAGCCACTGCGCATGAATCAGACTGCTCCTGATATAAATTGTCCTTGGAGCAATGGAAAATTTTGTAGCAAAAATAAAGCTTTCCAAAAGAAGATAACGAATCCAATTTTTCAAGTTCACCTGATATATTGCGTAAATTTGGGAGCGCAGCCGTGCACCACCAATTTTGTGCACCAATAAGCCCTGAATCGAACGCCTTGGATCTCTCCGGACCTACACCAATCAGCCGTGCACCACTCGGCTTTGTCCTCTTCCGGCCTTGACCACCACATGCCGTGCACCACCAGGCCGCGGATCGAATATGACTTCCGGTCATCGTTAAATTACGTAATTTTACGTTCACCGCATCTGAGGTTAGGTTTCAGATAGCATAGTTCTGTTCTAAAATTTATCGTCCTTCGACAAGTGGCTGTTCGACCGAGGGCTGGTTCGACCCACGGCCTAAATACGGACGGCTTGAAGTGTTGAAGGCTACGTTCCGGAAGGCAGGAATCATGATGGTCCATTACATCCAGGGCAGTGGTGGTCTTCGGCAGGCGACCCCGTAAATTTATTGCGTACGCGCCAACTTGCTGTTCTTGAAATATTGCGATCAATTGAGACTAATGTTTGTATCATTAAGTATAAACTGTATGAATCGATTAGGTGTGTTTCATACTAATTATTATGTTCTTAAATTGCCGCATTTATCTAAAGCAACGTTGACGTAGTCAGCCGCGGCTCGTCATCTCCAAAGCACAGCGAGCGAGTCGAGTATAAGCACACGCTCTTTCCATACCTGTTAGGTTGGCGCGCGTCGGGGTTGAGCTTCTTTCCTTCTTTCCTAGTAATCTTAAACATGTCTTGCTTGATATATGTGCTTTCCGAGTAATTTGCTTGTCAAAAAAGTATCCTCTTTAAGCAGAGTGATATGAGTAAAAATTCGGGTTTTCTATCGCTGACTTTGAGGGCGAAATTTAATTATTTGGGGGAAAATTTCTTTATACCGTTAGATAATTATTTTGAGTTTTAGTCAACGTATCTAATAAAGCGGCGTCGGTATCTTTCCTACGCAGATGATAAAAGATTATTAGGCTATAGGAAAATAGTGACACGAAGTGATGAAGGTATTTCACGCCAAACATAACAAAATCATCGAGTGATATCAATTCATCATTTCACGCATGAATGTTCTTGGTGAAAATATTTTGAATCGAACCACCGTGAAAATTGTGTAATGTTCACATTATGAAACTTCGATACTGATCAAGCATTTTCCCGTAGCCTTCAATATGAGCTGAACCATCGTTCGTTATGGATATACGAAGTTCCTCTGATCGGCTGTTTACTCGAAAATAACAGCATGTTCTAATAAAATTGTCAATGGAACCACCTATTCATCACATTGGTATCACTAACTTCTATTATTTGATGAAATAAATACTTGCAATACTTCAATAATAAATCTTTTAAAATTACTCCAGTGCCAAGTCATCTCCGCTGGCTCAACGGTGGTGGTTGGGCTTTGCGTAAGGGAGATCAGAGTTCGAATCTTGCAGGCAGTGACTTTTCTTCAAGTCGATTTCTCACGAGGTATGTGCCTGGTACTAACTGTGATACTTTGTTCCTGCTTCACGTCTGACATTGTACTTATACTGCCATGGTGGATTTGCATAGGTAGTACTCACAATGTGTGATAGTATGACGCAATATCAGTAATTGCAAATGCGTTGGATATGAAACTAAAGGTAAAATATTTATTGACTTCATTTCAAAGGTGGCTATTGTTAGCTCGTCGATGCACCACCGGTGACAATGGGTAGTTATTGGTGGCCAGAGGTGGAGCAGGGTGGCCATTGGCAGATTATAAGTAGAACATAGACCGGTCACGCCTTCGTTGCCGCATAGATGCGCCATCGGTGCTCCACCTACAATTTCCACCTGTAGCTACGAATAATCATCGATTAATTGGTTCTTTCTTCAGGTATAAAGACGTTATTCCTGCTCGGATGCGATCAAACCTGGTCTATGAGTTCTGTTGTGCACGCTGTGCATCTACGTACGTTGGAATGACGTCGCGTAACTTCTATACATCCGGGTTTCTGAACACCGTGACAGGAGCTATCGTTCTAACTTGCCTCTCGCCAAGCCTCCTCATTCTTCCGTGCGCCTCCATGCTGAACAGTGCGACGTGGCTGTATCTGAGAGTGATTTCAGGATACTCGGTTCCACTTCTGGCTGCTCGGATTTGAGAATTTTGGAGCCTCTACATATCTTCAAACGAAAACTATGTCTCAATAATGCGTTTAGTTCATATAATCTGGAATTAGTAAATCGCTAGGATTTTATATTCTTGTCGTACCCCTACGACTAAGTTGTTCCAATCTAGTCCTGTTTATTTCGATATAATGTTAGGTCTTGTTTAGGTTTTATGTCTGTCTTTGAATTTTGACTTTTAAAGTGATTTTATTCATTTTTAGTCGAATTGATGATGGAGCTGGACTCCGAAACGTTTTCAATATCGATATGGTGAATTTTCTTGGCGTTTTCTTTGCTTTTAAATTCCTTGTGAACTTGCGATGTAAGCACACTGATGATATAAGTACTTATCTTCTGTCCAAAACGGAAACAAAAAAATTATATCATAAATATATACGAACATGTAATTAGTTCATGTTTCAAGCATTAAAACAACATTGAATGCAGTGTTTACTTCAACCTACTGACCGTTTAATAAATCGGTAGGTTTTATACCAATGGCAAATAAATATTCGATGATATCATTTGACCACTCAATTTTTCAAAAGATCAGAGTAAACGTTATCTTAATTAATTAATCAGAGTTATCTTAATTCCCCTTAACCATCAACAAATGATGACTTGGTAATTACAGTAAACTTTTTAACTACATTGAGATAGAGAAATATTGAGTATAATACCCACACAATTTCATTCGATTTTTATGCCAAGCTCGCCAGTCGTAAAGTTAAGCCGATCTGAAATAATTATAGACTTTAATATAGTCATGAATCATTTGAATGCGTGTTCTCATATTGTGTGGTACCAGATCCGTTGAATGCAGAGTTTTCATCTCGCGATAAGACCTTCATCATCATTGATTCTTATCCGTGCGCTTCTCTGCGCCACCTCCCATCTTGACTTCGATGACAAAGATCACGAAGGCGACTGTGACACCTGGACGGAAGAGCCTCTGTTTTACTTTGTCATTCTCGCACAGGTAAAATCAATGAGAGTTTTAATAAAATGTATGACTCATAGTGCAAAACAATGTGAACAGAGCGAAAAAAACCTTTTCGATATTAACTAAAAACTTGGGCAAACATTGAACAGTTTTCGTTTAATATCGTTCGTGTTTGTTCAATATGAAAATCTTGCGTTCAACCAGTTCTATTATTAAACATTATTTTTACACCTGAAAACGGTTGTGCGTCAGATACCCTTTTCGATTATAAGGCTGGGGCGATAATTAAGTCTTATGTTTTTTCATTATTACAATTCGAATGAATTCATTTTGTTTACCGTGCCATTTATTCTATTAGAACTGTAGAAAGTTAAGTTTCACAATTAATTGCTTATGACAACATAACCGACATATTGCTCCTCTTGGGCTGTAATCACCTATTCCGTAGATGATGAAGATCCCGAAAAAATCCTTGGGAGCAAAAGGCCGCGAATCACTCAAGCTCGTCTGAGGTTTGGTGCACCACGAGGCGTTCCGTAAACCCGCTTCAATGAGACGAGGCGCTATACCGGACTGCACCACACGCAACATCCTTCAAGTAAACCATCAAAACTGGGTAATTGTTAGAGAATAAATTTCAGTTACCAAAATGGTTTACAAAATACATATATTGGCTAATTGACTTACTTTTTATTGACTTTAATCATAACATTACAGACGTTCGTATAATATTATTCTTCTATATATAATTAATTACATTTGGTCCATGGCATCTTGCAGTGGCGAGTTCTTAGGGTACGCGTAAGTCATGTAGCTGGGCATGAGCCCCGTCGATGTCACAGCCAGACGACAATCGCCGAACTGATAAATTGATCACGTATAGAGCCAGCTTTTTAAAAGTCACTCTGATTTATTGGGCCATATTCTTCAAATTTGGCATCAGATCAACAATTGGTGGGAAGTATGGTAACATTTACACGTGCGAAATGACGTACCTAGCTCTGCAGGTATGAATTTAATTCTCAAGAAGTAATTACTTGAATTGAACTTCACATGCATGAAGGTAAATAATGGCATGAGTTTAAGCAGAGCTTGGCTTTATGGGCCCACCTTGGAAAAGTCGGCCGCCAAGAGGCCAATCAGCATCATGTCAGGGGCAAGAACTGAAATGAATAACATGTAATATAAGTTAACGTTGGATGCTATTTGTTGATCTTTGAGTAAATTTTTTTCTAAACCTACAATTTTAATTCCTGGGCCTATACTTTCAAAAAAGTTAAGAGATCGTAAGTTCATCCGCCCAATCATTGACGGCCTTTCGAGCAAAATCCACCAATTATAGACAAGAAAATAGAGCGTAAGTACTTACGTTCACTTTGCGAGTTTTGAAAGTATGGCCCCTACTGGAAAGTTTCGTTAGCAAGTAAAATATATTTGGTGTAGGAAATTTTTGATCATAACTAAGATCTATACTGTGCTAAATAATTCCTAGTTAATGTCGATTTGAGTTTATATCTTTGTTAATTTATGGGATTAACAGCTTAATTACTTCAACTAGTTGCCATTTGGCCCTACTTATCAAACGCGCCAGTATTCGTCCCCGGTTATTAACTTATTAGGATGAGGGCGAAAAATATTTTTTTCAAAAATTCAACTATGAAGTATTGATTAATAGTTGAACAAAAGGAGAAGCTATAAAATGAACTGCTATTTACATGCATGCAGTAAATAGCTCCTAATGATAATTATAGCGTGCAACAAAATAACCTACACATCTCAACAAAAACCTTCAATATCAATTTTAGCATCAATCGACTTGTGTCATGTGCTGTTCACTGATTAATGCTTGAATAATTAAAATTAATTGAGCAGTAGAACTTCAATAATCCAGGTTAGAGTCACACGAAAAAATCATACTCGGACAGCAAATTTCGATGAAAGTTTTACTTCGCTCCACCCCATTAGTTTTCCCAAGGTCATAAAATAAGGAGTATTTTTGTCGGAATAATTGCAACTATTGCTGTCAACCTAAAAGCCGTTGTTTGGAAGAAACAACTTGATACTTTTTTGTCCAGAACAGCTTGTACAGCTTCTTCGGCATTGGGTTGGAAGCTGTCCCTCATCGACCAGAGTCTTCCTCGTAGGCAGTTCGGCTCATCTAGCTGGCCAGTGATAAAACCTTTTGTAGCAGTTCTTTCTTTTGACGTCTACGTGCTTACAATGTGCTTCCAATATACTATATATAATTATAAAGATTATACGAAGTGTTTTGAATATAAAATTCGAACGAAATTGTAGATATTTCGACTAAAAGCTAAATATAGCAACAGCTTCTTTGTTATTCACCTATGTTATTCACCTACTTTGTTATTCACCTTTGTGTACCTATGTAACTTTAACCGTACTAAAGATCAATTGAGACAAATGATAACAATTAAACCAAATTCTAAGTTAAATTGTTTTAATATTTGAAGCTGAGTGATACCCTAGGAAACTCATACAGAGGTAAACTAGGCATGAACAAACCTTGAAAGTGTCACCATAAATCGTGCCGTTTATCCATGTTATCTTGTACTCGTCTTGATGTGTGAATTCTTCGGCGGAGGTGAACGGAACCTTAATCTGTAGAGTATGCAATACTCATCTACAATACTGATCGAATTAAATAAATGTAAAAGTATCAGTGACCATAACAGAGTGAACATCAATTCAAGATGATTTAAAAGTTCAATATTTTTTTTCATAGTCGCAGAATTTCAGAGAATAAATATAGAGGAGTACAACCTTCTCGTTGACGAGGATGGCCTGGAGGTTACATCGGTAAATAGAAGCAATCATGAAGCTAATGAACAGCCAGAAAGCCCCGAGCATTCGACCCGAACCTTTACCAGGCGTGTCTGCCAGATCTGATCAAAAATTCGCAATGGAAACATTTTGCACGTACATCGAGTTAATCATCAGTGTAGCTTTCTACGATTTATAAAAATAAGCAAGCAGTATGTAAGCATCAATGTCTGAAAATCTTTGTTTGTACAACAAACCTTGACTCAGGAATATTTTCAGCGTCCAAGTGAAGCCTCTCGTCCACATTTCATACGTGGAGTGTCGACCTCGTCGTGGTGAAGCGCGTTTGGCAGGACTGAGTATTGACATGGCAATTAAATAAAATCCGGTCTTATCAAGATTTGTCAGCAATACCTTATAAAATAGAATCAGACGTTTTATAGCTAAAAATGCTTTTCTTTTTTATTGCTCTATAATTTATTCGGTAAAATCAATTAATTTGAAATATCTGAATGGAGAAACTGTCAACAGTTAAATACATATCAGGCTATAGTCCTAAATTTAATAAGGTGAAATTATCAGATTGGCATGGTATTATTTACTCCAAGTTTATTTGATGCACTCTTCCACTGCCGCACCTCGAATGGTAGTCTGCCAGATGCAGCAGGCCTGCCGAAACACCAACTAACAATAGCGATGCAAGCACCCAAATCCAAACCTGAGGACGAATTTCCTAGTATCAACCGCATAGTTTACAACTGTTATAAAGATAATAGCCCCAACATAATTGAGCTTTTGATTGTTTTCACATCCCAAAATTTTCATTTCAAAAATTTCATCCCAAAATTTTCCCAAGCTAATGGACAACAAACGTGTTCCATATATAAGCTAAGGTTGCCAGGCTAAGTCTGAACGGCGCTCGAAACGGCATTGTGCAAGTCTCAAGTCTTTCTCTTATGAAATCTAAGTGATCATTACTGAACTTGGAATAGAAAAGAATTTGGTCGCCTGTCACAAGACGATCGCCCAAAAAGAAGGCTTCATAATCATAATGAATCCTCACGAGACACTTTTTGGTCAACCCAATTCATATCAGAGATAGTTTCTGAATTGTAAAAAAAAATATGATGATGAACTGTACTCCTTGCACATAAATTTGCGCAATGCCATGAAATTCTCAACACTTCGCATACCTCTTGCACAAAGGGCCTGGTGAAAATGAGGACGTCGGGTTGGATGCGGGTGATACGGCGGTAGATCATATAGTGTTGGTTCAACATGTAGGCCGGCGCGTAGTTCACAATCTCATTCCTTTGTATGTGTTGAGCAACGGGACCCATCACTAAGTCAACTTCCTGAACAAAGGGGAAATGAATGCATAAATAAATTCAAATCAATGCACTTTTATTGGATTATTTTGCGAGGGGGTGTGGCACAAAATATAGCGCATTTTTTATGCACATACGTACTGCTACATGGAAGCAGGTGCATGTAAAAAATTTGCTGTAGATGCGATTAACAATTAATTGAAAATGAACCATAAATAAATACTTTCTAATAAATACCGTAAATATGTGCGCAACGAATTGAAATTATTAAGTGTATTTGCTTCCAACTGGCGCGATTCTAGAACCCAGAACACTTTTGATGATGAATAAGGGAGCGAATTAACTAGCCTGCATAACGTCTTTACAAGAGGAAGAATAATTTTTACCCGTTGAAGCTGTTCAGAAATTTAGTAATAGTTTAATATTTTCTTTCGTAATTGAAATATTGTGGTTATGTACTATATGTAAAAATTTTTGTGCAGTTGTTGATCACTTAGTGTCTTTCAATCGATCAATATGAGTTTACTTTAATTGTGAAAACTTCTGCCTCAAATCTAAATATTTGTTTGCATCTCATCGCAAATGTTTTCTATAGGTAAATTTCTTGCAATAACAAGCCAGTGATGATTAACATTCATTCTTAAGCATATAGTTGCAGCTGGCATAGCGAGTATTCTCGTATTTCCGTTCAAATCCTTAAATGAATATAAGTTTTAAATTTCGAAGATTCCAAGTAAAAATGTATCACTAGGGCTCAGAGTTGCAATTAAAAAATTGAAAATCTATTACGTGATGCATCGACGTCAAACTAACGTGTTTTGGTCTTGAGGTATTTCAATTGGTCAATCTTATTATTAAGTATTTTTATGCATAGGATTGTAACATTATCCAGGATCAGCAAAACTCCAATAATTATAGTACGTAAATAATTAAAATATTAGTATTTGGACATCGAAAAGACAAAAATTTTAATACATTTTTGCTCAGTGAGTACCCAGTTAAAGATCCCTACCAGAATTTATCCCCAATATTCTCAACCCAACTCTTGCAAAATATAAATCAGATCAAGAAATAAGAAATATGACAAATAGGCTCCTCTGCGATGAACATTCAAAATATTAAACAATAGGTAAATTTCCAAACAAACCGCGACAACCTACTCTTATTTCATGCATCAGATAAAATTGTTTCCGTAAATGAAGACATAGAGAAGTAATTTTCATGAGCCAGTTCCTGAATCAAGAGTTATTTTCTGCCTCGTGTAAATTAAACTTATATAATAATGAGTTAATACGACATCCCCACCCTGCGGGCCAACATGCCCAGGGCTCCGTTATAGTGAGTTGCGTTGATCTTCTTACCAAGCAGCAGGTCTGCAGGAGCCACCAGGCGGTAACTGATCATGAACATCCGTGATCAGCTTCTATTATATGTTGTCACGAGCAATAGTTATTATTATTATTATTAATAGAGAACACCAAAGGAATGTGGAAGTTTTCAATTCTATGAATATAACTAAGACGATGGAGAGACTATGATATCATTTAGCGTTCACTCAAATTGTTGTTCTTTTATAAAATTAATGACACCCAAATATTTACTAAACTATTTAAATAGCATATGTTTTCGAATAAAATTGATTAGTTGGGCCAAAATACGAGGGGCATCCGGAAAGTAGTACCCGTTTGGGAAATGAAGAAAAGGAAGTAAATATTAAGAAATGTAAACATGTTTATTGAAGAGAACATGTATTACACTACTTCTCTACATAATCTCCGGACAAATTTAAGCATTTGTCGTATCGTATCACGAGTCTTTGTATACCAGTTCATATTCCTCCGCCGCTAGTGTATTGAGATACGCAGTAGCGCGTTCTTTCAGTTCTTCGTCATTTTGAAACTTTGTCCCAGCCACAAAGTCCTCGAATTTCGTAAACAGATGAAAATCTGAAGGAGCCAAGTCCAGACTGTAGGGTGGATGGTCGAAAATCTCCCACTTAAATTTTTGGAGAAGTTGTTGTGTGATCCGAGCCGTATGCGGCCTGGCATTATCTTGCAGGAGAATGACGCCAGTAGACAACAGACCTCGCCGTCGATTTTGAATTGCCTGCCGTAATTTTTTAATGTTGCCCAATATGCATTGGCATTGATTGTGTCTCCACGAGTCATGAAATCGATGAGCAGTACACCTTGCCGATCCCAGAAACTCTGGCGGCGGAGGAACATGACACTGGTATACAAAAACTCGTGACACGATACGACAAAAGCTTAAATTTATCCGGAGATTATGTAGAGAAGTAGTGTAATACATTTTCTTTGCAATCAACATGTTTACATTTGTTAATATTTGCTTCCTTTTGTTTAATTACCAAACGGGTACTACTTCCGGATGCCCCTCGTACCTACTGTTTATGCATATGAATATGTCTAAATTATTCACTCGTCTTAAGAAGAAAACCCTATTACCAGCAAATTCGTGATCAATCCTGCAAAAAATCGTCTATTAGTGCACTATATCATATGTAATTGATACCGTTCGCTGAATGTAAAATTACATACCACCATCCTAGGTACTGCATCATTATCCTGAAGATCTCAATGTGGATGCCAGAGAAGGGCCTCGTATCGAGGTTAACGAAAGCTGGCGACCACTGCAAAAGAACTCCAAAGTTTTTTAAAATTACCCGTAACTGCAAGCTCGGATTAAATAAGTTAGTGTGTTCAGTTAGTGGTTATCTTTCAGTTACTGGTTATCTCTCCAGTGAAACATTTGACTAAAAATTGTGGCAGAGGAAGCGATCGCTCCCGTAGCTTCAATAGCGATGGTGTGAACGCCCAGCCCAAATTATATACACAAGACATGGACATGGGTAGGAAGAATAAGTCAGAAATCTAATACCAAATCACAAAATTATAACTGGATTCATATTCAGAACTTAATCAAGAATAAGAACTATACTCATATCATCAAAATAATCACGACTGACACGACCATAGCACAACGCATCCTCATCGACGGCTTCTCCATGTTCATCACTATAATGAGACCCTCACAGTGCGAGCAGGAAAAATACACTCACTTCCTCATGTGCAACATGTGCTGTACATTCTAAGCCCACAGGCCCCACTCACTTATGCACCGCCAGCACACAACCCTGATAGTGATTGGCATGAGGTACGGTACTGCACTTATTTTTAACTTGGTTGTTATTGTTACTTGTCGTTTGGATAAATATTATATCCGCTATTATATTGATGGCATAATACAACGTGTTTAGCGTTGAAGATTATGCCGTCACTGCAAGCTCGTCTCAAATCCATAACTTGCTGCTCAAATATTGGTGCTCTTAACCACTTCGTCACCCCGTATATCTTTGACTAATTATCGGTCGGAACGTCAACAGAGCGAAGGACGGGTTGTATCTAACTAATCACCTCTTCTGTATATAGATACAATGAAGTCTTTCTTCGACGAGCTCACCTCTCACATTCTATGGATGTTATTGATTTACATTGAAATTCATTCGACTAATTCAGATCGTAATTGTTTGAAATCATTATGCTAAAATACTGCTCACAGCGTCCATATTTCTAGGGACAATGAGAACTTAAATTAATAGTTACCGGGCTCGCGGCGGCGGTGATGCATCCCGGCGTGGGCTCGAAGACCTCGAAACTCTTCCCGGTGGGGGAGTTGGGGATGGTCCATCGCTCCATCTGTGTGTTTAATAATCTTTGTAAAAGTGGAAGAATATAATATTGAATTTATTCAGTACACAAGTAAAAACTGCTTCCAATCTGTACAGCAGCGAACTCATCACGTTATAGAAGCGTGTTCGCTTCGCCTTAACCTATCGATAAAACGCAACTACAAGATTTTTCACAACGATTTTATTGTTTTAAAGAGGTGCAAATACTGAGAATAATGTTACTTCTGACAAGATGTTACTATTGTACATTATTTACGCGCAACCTCACATGATAGTGAAGACGCGAGTGTGATTTAATCCA